AGCTGACTCAACCCAAATCTTCCACACAGTAGGTTTTTGCAGTCAGGATGAAACAGTACAAACACTCTGAAAAAAAAGATGTTCTATAGTGTAACAAATTTATTAAAATCCAGATGAATATAAAAGTAAATATTGCACTCACATATTACATAATGATATGAGTAGCGACTTTTTCCTTTTTTTTAGTTTTTCCTTTTTTTTTTTGACACTTTATAACTGTATTGGTTATCTCATAAGGACACTTTATAACTTGATTTGACATGGTGTTATTATGCTTATGGTTCTAGTGTTTATGTAGATATTAACTATTTTAATATTGTTATGAGTAGCACCTTTTACCTTCTTTTTTAGACTTGTGACAATATTCAAGGGTGGCTTTTTAATGAAAAAATAAAAACTATACTGACACTGTATATTGTGGTGTGTCAGGAATGTAGTCATTCAAATTTTCAGTGTTTGATAGGTCCATAAAACAAACAAAAAAACTTTTCTTGTCCATGACTGAACGTTTGATGTGAACACAGGCTCACTTCACTGCACTTCACCTCACTTCACACTTAAAAAACGTTCTCTGTAAACATTGGAAAGTAAAGAGAGTTTGCTTGTTGGATCAAGTTTTGATCACCATCCTATGACTATGGCTGGCTGAAGGCATAACAGAGCATTAAATAGTCCCACTGCATGAATACATTTCCCTAAATAACTTTGAATGCGACTTACAATGGCAAGCTGTTGTACAGTGGAGGAAATGTACTGTATCATTCCGTTTTGATGACTAATTTGCATCCCTAATCTACATTTGTATCCTGCTTAGCAGAAAGCTTGATTGAAATGTACTGTCTACCTTGCATGATGGAGCGGTGTCCCGTCTCTAGCATAAATAAGCAATCTCAAGTCTCAAGGCGGTTCCTGATTAGAAAGTGGACAGGCCACCCGTGATACCCACTGTAAAACGCTTCATCCATATCTGTGATTATTATGGTTATTCAAATAGGAGATATAAAGTGGTTGAATGAGGTCATACCTCCCATGGCACTGCTAGGATCGCACAAGACATGTTGATTGATAAAATCTGTCTCCACATTCTAGCACTTGTCTTGGATTACAGTAATAAAATGTGCACACTGTAGAATAGTGTTAGCATCCTGCAGGTCAGGACTCTGTTCCCTTGTATACTTTTGTGTTTATATTCATATACTCATGAAAAAAAATTGGGGGGTTTTGTGCATGGCCCAAACAGACAGTACTTCACTCAAAATCCTTCCTTGATGAAAACCACAGTGGGGGGTTTGCTAAAACTGGAGGGTGCAAAATCTAGTGCACTTCTGCCTCTAACTTCAGCTTGCCTTTGGCAATAAAAACTGGAAGTTGATTGGTTTCTATGCAGAACTCCACTAGATTTTGCACTCTTCAGCTTTAGTAAATATGCCCCAATGACTTATCACCTTATCTTTGTGGTGGTAGCCTGATCTTCATGTCCTGACAATTAAAAAAACATATTCACTTGTCAATAACAAGGCTTTAACAAGACGAATCCATACACCACTATACAGCTGTTGCTTCCAGTGACAATAATACTTTTTATGATTTCCTACATAGTTGGATCATTAGTAGCAGAAGCCTAGGAAGAGCTCAGTGTGCCCCCTGGGTATGCGCCTGATCAGAGACTGGACCCACACAACATACAGCAGCTGATCTGTTCCAGGGCAATGCAAATCCTGGCTTGCCACCACACCACCTCTCATTTATCTTAGTGGAACTTCCTGTCATGGTCATTCATCTTCTCATGGTCACAAATTCAATTACTCCGTGCATTTTTCTTTCTCTCATATACCACTTATCAGTTTCCTTGGCTATTATAGAGCCTCTGTTAATAGGCTTAATGTGGTTGTAAAGGCTGAAGGTTTTTTACTGTCATGCATTCTATGTATAAAGGTAAAAAACCTTCTGTGTGCAGTAGTGCCCTCAGCCCCTCAATACTTAGCTGAGCCCCATTGTAAGGGAATTCCTGTGAGACGGCTGGCTAATAGAAATGTGCATGCGTGCAGCAATCTCCGCAGAATAGTGACCAGATGTGAGCACAGAAATGCACGATCGCACACAAGCACACGCACAGTGAAGGGTAAGGGTATGCCATTCAGTCATTTTTTATTTATTTCAGGTACTTATATAGCTCTGTCAATTTACACAGTGCTTTACATATATATTGTACATTCACATCAGTCCCTAACCCTTAAGGGGTGTACAATCTAAGGTCCCTAACTCACATTCATACATACACATACTAGGGACAATTTAGACAGTAGCCAATTAACCTACCAGCATGTTTTTGTGGGTGTGGGAGGAAGCTGGAGTGCCTGGAGGAAGCCCACGCAGGCACAGGGAGAGCATGCAAACTCTGGGCAGGTAGTGCTGTGGTTGGGATTTGAACCAACGACCCTAGTACTGCCAGGTGGAAGTGCTAACCCTTTAGCCACTGTGCTTCCCCTAGTTATGACCTACAGCTGAATATGAATCCAATAAGAAATAAAAGAAATCTGTTTTTCCTGCTCATGTCTTTAATAATGGCACTGTATATTATCAGTTCTCCAAGGGTACACAAACATTTGAGCACAACTGTATGAACTGTGGCAGAACCTGATTGCCTCCTAATCCTGTCCCAGCCTGAGTTTTGTTATACAAAAGATTTCAGAGGCCTACTATGAAAGACAAATTCAAGTAACTACACTACAGTAATTGCAATTGAAAAAACATTTTATGATTTTATAGTGAATAAATAACTGCATTTATACTAAAATCCAGGCTAAAAAACAGTCTAAATGTAGGAAGTGTGTATTGTCACTTGAATCTTGGTGTCCTTGGTGTATATCTCACAGATTTGTGAAGCAAGTCAGTGTTAAATGATTTATACTTTGCTTCTGTACTGGAGCCTCCTGTAATAAAGACTGGTCACTGTTGTTGTCCCTCTTTTTTCAGGGTGGCTGGTCATGTACTCACCCCCTTATAGTTTCCTACAGGCGACCTGTGGTGGGTGATAAAGCAAACATTCATTATATTGCAGGTTACCAATTCTTAGACCCCATGTACACGAGCAGCTCCTAAACTCGAGTTTTAGGAGCTTTTGGCATTTTTTTGCCAAAGCTCTTAAACTCAACTCCATAAAAGCCTATGTGTCCATGTACACACAAGTGTCACGATCGTGGCGTCAGACCCCAGACCTTCTCACCTAAACTTGTGACCGAAGGGCTAGCCGATATAAAACCGCGATGTGACGTGCATAACAATGCCACACCCAGCTGCACCCTGCACAACGATTTTCCAGCTAATGGATACAGATCGATGTGCCGGCAGCCTGAGCAATTGTACTGGGTCAGGTTAATTACACAATTAACCCTTCACACTGCCACCACCTCCTTTTTGTACAGAGAAAGAGGAAACTCGGCGTTATCAGCTATAACACTATAATGATTGAGATAATCGTCTGTATAAAACGGTCCGCAGGCCAGTTATACAGAGGTTTAAACAACCACAGTAGTATCTCTTTAGAGGCAGGAATTCATGAGTTGCAATACAGAGCTATAGAAACAGTTCAACACTTTCAGAAAGAAAGATTTATTACTAAAAGGTCAAACAGGAGCAATAAAAATATTTACAGAACAAAGATGTAACTAAGATATATATATATATATATATATATATATATAAATATACAAAGAACCATAGCACAGCAAAGAGGTATCAGAGAGAGGTGAAAGGGTTAAAGTACTTGCCAAAGTCCTTGTCAGGAATGGACTGGCCAGCAATGGTGGGACTCACGTGCCTTATGGGCTGCAGTACCAGGGCTGGCCAGCGGGTGCTCCCAGCAATCAGAGACTCAAACCTTGCAGCCAGCCAAACACCTGAAACTGCTTATACTGGTGTATTTAAGGGATGGCCAGACCTGCAGACTCTGCCTTGGTGTGTGTTTTTCCTGGGCCCTGTATCTTGTTCCTGCATCCTGCATCCTGCTCCTGTTCCTGTTCCTGTCTTGTTGCTGACCCTGCCTGATCTGGACCTCTGCTGACTTCTCCTGCTCTGACCCCGGCTCGTTCCTGACCATCCCTCTGCCTGACCCTCTGTACCACGCTGCCCGCTACCTGCTGAACCTGGCTTGTGACCCCGACCATTCTCCGCTCGCTCCCCCTGTACCTACCTGCCCGATTGATATTGACCCGGCCTGCCTGACGACGCTTGCATTGTATGTACTGTCATCTGTGGGTGGTTGGTTTGGTTTGTTTGCACTGTGTTATGTTTTAGTATTGCACTGCGTTTATGTTTGTATTGTTAGTGTTAATAAATTATATTGTTTATAACATTTCTGAAGTCTGCGTTTCCCTGCGTCAGTCACACACCTCTGGTCATACCCGGGAGCCCTGACATTACACCAAGGCCAATCCTGACCAGAAGTGGCTGCACAGGGAAGCCACCTTGGTTTGTTGATGGGAAGGATGGATCTTGATGAGGTTGTGTATTTATATCTGCTAGTGTTTGATGACAGAGAGTATGCTTATCAAACTCTGAAGGAGTATCCCCGGGATGAACTGCTAGAATGTATATGGCTCGCTCATGTTCTAGTAGATCAGGGCACAGAATTCTCTGAGGTGCAGCCATTGATTCAGGTTTGTGCGGAGTTGGTTTTCATCTGGTTCCCCCGAATGCAGGGATGAATTTTTGCCGCCATTTAGTGCCGACCAGGTAGAGTCCCTGGTATGGTTATTAGAGGATGATGTGGATTGCTTCTTGGAGCATTATGCTGCATGTTCACCACAGATACTAAGGGATTGTATAAACGCAGTGCAGTCTTTGGTCAGACAGGCTTTGTGTATGCTCAGCTTTGTTCAACCCATACTGCAGACATGGACAGATTTGTTGCACCCAGCCTCAGTCAGCTTACAAAAACCCAGTCCTGCTTCTAATCTATTTCCTCAAAGCTCTATTCCTGCATTCCCAACAGCTCCTCCTGCCCTGCTATCTACCGCATGTCAGTACCCTGTTCCCACTCGCTGCACCTATCCTGCCTTTAACCCTGTAAAAAAGCCCTCTGTAGCAACTGCTCCCTCCCCTGTTCCATCCTCCAGCTCTTCTCTGTCTCCAGCTGCTCCATTCGTTTGCAGACCTGCGTTTACTTGCAGTGCTCCAGTAGTTAAAACCAGAAAAAAGCGAAAATTCTTTCCAACCAATACCATCCTGCCAGTATCCAAAACCGGTGAGCCTGCCGTCTGAGAACCTGCCTTCTGTGGTTCAGCCTGGTGCCTCGGCACCCGCACTTCAGCCTGAGGTCTGTACCCAGCCTGATGCCTGTACCCAGCCTGATGCCTGTACCCAGCCTGATGCCTCTATTCAGCCTGATGCCTCTATTCAGCCTGATGCCTCTATTCAGCCTGATGCCTCTATTCAGCCTGATGCCTCTACTCAGCCTGATGCCTCTACTCAGCCTGATGCCTCTCTTCAGCCTGATGCCTCTCTTCAGCCTGATGCCTCTACTCAGCCTGATGCCTCTACTCAGCCTGATGAACTGATCCAGCCTGATGATCCTATTAGGCCAGTTGACTCGATGCCCGCTGTTGATCCTGACGATCCGGTACCTGATCCGGTGCCCGCTGTCGTGCCAATTGACTCAGAGCCCGCTGTCGTACCTGGTGACTCGGTGCCCACTGCCTTGCCAGATGACGCGGTGCCCGCTGGCGAGCCAAATGACCTGATGCCTGGACACCCAGTACCCGCTGTCATACCTGGTGACCCGATGCCCGCTGTCGAGCCAGACGATCCAATGCCTGGTGACCCGGTGCCCACTGCCTTGCCAGATGACGCGGTGCCCGCTGGCAAGCCAAGTGACCTGATGCCTGGTGACCCAGTGCCCGCTGTCATACCTGGTGACCCGATGCCCGCTGTCGAGCCAGACAATCCAGTACCTGATGACCCGGTGCCCGCTGTCGTGCCAATTGACTCAGAGCCCACTGCCGTGCCTTGTGACTTGGTGCCCACTGTCTTGCCAGATGACGCGGTGCCCGCTGTTGAGCCAAATGACCTGATGCCTGGTGACCCGATGCCCGCTGTCCAGCCAGACGATCCAATGTCTGACCCAGTGCCCGCGGTCATGCCAGGTTGACTCGGAGCCCACTGCCTTGCCAGATGACGCGGTGCCCGCTGTCGAGCCAAATGACCTGATGCCTGGTGACTCGATGCCCGCTGTCCAGCCAGACGATCCATTGTCTGACCCAGTGCCAGCGGTCATGCCAGTTGACTCGGAGCCCACTGTCGTGCCTGGTGACTCGGTGCCTGTCGCTCCGCCTGGGGGTCCGGCGCCCGCCGTTCCGCCTGGGGGCCCGAGACCTGTCGCTCCGCCTGGGGGTCCGGCGCCCGCCGCTCCGCCTGGGGGCCCGAGACCTGTCGCTTCGCCTGGGGGTCCGGCGCCCGCCGCTCCGCCTGGGGGCCCGAGACCTGTCGCTTCGTCTGGGGGTCCGGCGCCCGCCGCTCCGCTTGGGGGCCCGAGACCTGTCGCTCCGCCTGGGGGTCCGGCGCCCGCCGCTCCGCCTGGGGGCCCGAGACCTGCCGCTCCGCCTGGGGGTCCGGTGCCCGCCGCTCCGCCTGGGGGCCCGATGCCTGTCGCCCCGCCTGGGGGCCCGATGCCTGTCGCCCCCGCCTGGGGGCCAGATGCCTATCGCCTCGCCTGGGGGCCCGATGCCCGTCGCCCCTCCTGGGGGCCCGGCGCCCGCCGCTCCGCCTGGGGGCCCGATGCCTGTCGCCCCGTCTGGGGGCCGATGCCTGTCGCCCCGTCTGGGGGCCCGATGCCTGTTGCCCCCCGTCTGGGGGCCCGGTGCCTGTCGCCCCGCCTGGGGGCCCGGTGCCTGCCGCTCCTCCTGGGGGCCCGGTGCCTGCTGCTCCGCCTGGGGGCCCGGTGCCTTCTGCTCCGCCTGGGGGCCCGGTGCCTGCTGCTCCGCCTGGGGGCCCGGTGCCTGCTGCTCCGCCTGGGGGCCCGGTGCCTGCTGCTCCGCCTGGTGGCCCGCTGCCTGCTGCTTCGCCTGGTGATCCGATGTGCCTCTGCCCGGAGTCCAGCCCGATGTGCCTCTGCCCGGAGTCCAGCCCGATGTGCCTCTGCCCGGAGTCCTGCCCGATGTGCCTCTGCCCGGAGTCCAGCCCGATGTGCCTCTGCCGGAGTCCAGCCCGATGTGCCTCTGCCCGGAGTCCAGCCCGATGTGCCTCTGCCCGGAGTCCAGCCCGATGTGCCTCTGCCCGGAGTCCAGCCCGATGTGCCGCTGCCTGGAGTCCAGCACGATGTGCCGCTGCCCATAGTCCAGCCCGGTGTGCCGCTGCCTGGAGTCCAGCCCGATGTGCCGCTGCCCGGAGTCCAGCCCGGTGTGCCGCTGCCCGGTGTGCCTCTGCCCGGTGTGCCACTGCCCGGTGTGCCGCTGCCCGATGTGCCTCTGCCCGGAGTTCTGCCCGATGTGCCTCTGCCCGGTGTGCCGCTGCCCGATGGGCCGCTGCCCGATGGGCCGCTGCCCGGAGTCCTGCCCGGTGTGCCAGTCTTTGATATCCCGCCAGTTACCAGACCCGGGCGGTGGAACATTTTGCCCAGCTAGGACTGTTTGGAGCGTCCTGAGGCCGCTCCTTGAGGGGGGGGTACTGTCAGGAATGGACTGGCCAGCAATGGTGGGACTCACCTGCCTTTTGATCTGCAGTACCAGGGCTGGCCAGCGGATGCTCCCAGCAATCAGAGACTCAACTTTGCAGCCAGCTAACACCTGGAACTGATTATGCTGGGGTATTTAAGGGATGGCCAGACCCACAGACTCTGCCTTGGTGTTGTGTTTGTCCTGGGCCCTGTATCTGTTTCTGTCCTGCATCCTGTTTCTGAACCGCTGCTGACTTCTCCTGCTCTGATCCCGGCTCGCTCCTGACCATCCCTCTGCCTGACCCTCTGTACCACGCTGCTTGCTACCTGTTCTGATCCCTGGCTTGTGACCCTGACCATCCCTCTGTCTGACCCTCTGTACTACGCTGCTTGCTACCTGCTGAACCTGGCCTGTGACCCCGACCAATCTCCGCTTGCTCCCCCTGTACCTACCTGCCCTATTGATATTGACCCGGCCTGCCTGACGACGCTTGTTTGTATGTACTGTTATCTGTGGTTTGGTTTGGTTTGGTTGCACTGTATTATGTTTTAGTATTGCACTGCGTTTATGTTTGTATTGTTAGTGTTAATAAATCATATTGTTTATAACATATCTGAGGTCTGCGTTTCCCTGCGTCAGCCACACACCTCTGGTCACACCTGGGAGCCCTGACAGCAGCCTGGAGAGGATTGTCAGGAAAAGATTTGTGAAGCAAGTCAGTGTTAAATGATTTATACTTTGCTTCTGTACTGGAGCCTCCTGTAATAAAGACTGGTCACTGTTGTTGTCCCTCTTTTTTCAGGGTGGCTGGTCATGTACTCACCCCCTTATAGTTTCCTACAGGCGACCTGTGGTGGGTGATAAAGCAAACATTCATTATATTGCAGGTTACCAATTCTTAGACCCCATGTACACGAGCAGCTCCTAAACTCGAGTTTTAGGAGCTTTTGGCATTTTTTTGCCAAAGCTCTTAAACTCAACTCCATAAAAGCCTATGTGTCCATGTACACACAAGTGTCACGATCGTGGCGTCAGACCCCAGACCTTCTCACCTAAACTTGTGACCGAAGGGCTAGCCGATATAAAACCGCGATGTGACGTGCATAACAATGCCACACCCAGCTGCACCCTGCACAACGATTTTCCAGCTAATGGATACAGATCGATGTGCCGGCAGCCTGAGCAATTGTACTGGGTCAGGTTAATTACACAATTAACCCTTCACACTGCCACCACCTCCTTTTTGTACAGAGAAAGAGGAAACTCGGCGTTATCAGCTATAACACTATAATGATTGAGATAATCGTCTGTATAAAACGGTCCGCAGGCCGGTTATACAGAGGTTTAAACAACCACAGTAGTATCTCTTTAGAGGCAGGAATTCATGAGTTGCAATACAGAGCTATAGAAACAGTTCAACACTTTCAGAAAGAAAGATTTATTACTAAAAGGTCAAACAGGAGCAATAAAAATATTTACAGAACAAAGATGTAACTAAGATATATATATATATATATATATATATATATAAATATACAAAGAACCATAGCACAGCAAAGAGGTATCAGAGAGAGGTGAAAGGGTTAAAGTACTTGCCAAAGTCCTTGTCAGGAATGGACTGGCCAGCAATGGTGGGACTCACGTGCCTTATGGGCTGCAGTACCAGGGCTGGCCAGCGGGTGCTCCCAGCAATCAGAGACTCAACCTTGCAGCCAGCCAAACACCTGAAACTGCTTATACTGGTGTATTTAAGGGATGGCCAGACCTGCAGACTCTGCCTTGGTGTGTGTTTTTCCTGGGCCCTGTATCTTGTTCCTGCATCCTGCATCCTGCTCCTGTTCCTGTTCCTGTTCCTGTCTAGTTGCTGACCCTGCCTGATCTGGACCTCTGCTGACTTCTCCTGCTCTGACCCCGGCTCGTTCCTGACCATCCCTCTGCCTGACCCTCTGTACCACGCTGCCCGCTACCTGGCTTGTGACCCCAACCATTCTCCGCTCGCGCTCCCCCTGTACCTACCTGCCCGATTGATATTGACCCGGCCTGCCTGACGACGCTTGCATTGTATGTACTGTCATCTGTGGGTGGTTGGTTTGGTTTGTTTGCACTGTGTTATGTTTTAGTATTGCACTGCGTTTATGTTTGTATTGTTAGTGTTAATAAATTATATTGTTTATAACATATCTGAAGTCTGCGTTTCCCTGCGTCAGTCACACACCTCTGGTCATACCCGGGAGCCCTGACATTACACCAAGGCCAATCCTGACCAGAAGTGGCTGCACAGGGAAGCCATCTTGGTTTGTTGATGGGAAGGATGGATCTTGATGAGGTTGTGTATTTATATCTGCTAGTGTTTGATGACAGAGAGTATGCTTATCAAACTCTGAAGGAGTATCCCCGGTGTGCCGCTGCCCGGAGTCCAGCCCGATGTGCCGCTGCCCGGAGTCCAGCCCGGTGTGCCGCTGCCCGTGTGCCTCTGCCCGGTGTGCCACTGCCCAGTGTGCCGCCCAGTGTGCCGCCCGATGTGCCTCTGCCCGGAGTTCTGCCCGATGTGCCTCTGCCCGGTGTGCCGCTGCCCGATGGGCCGCTGCCTGGAGTCCTGCCCGGTGTGCCGTGCCCGGAGACAGTCCTGGGTTAGCAGATCCAAGTTTCAGAGCAGAAGGGTGCTTTGATCTCCTTATGTTACGATGGAAAAAATTGGAGAATTCTTCAACTTCACTAATCTTAGGCCTGCCAGCCCAATTTGTAGTTCCCAACAGGGGGTGTTGCTGAAGTCAAAGGACCAATACCCCGTTTGGGAGGGAACGTCTGGGCGTAGGCCTAAACTATAGCCAAAATCTTTCATAACTCATATTTTGGCCCATAACTTCCCATCTGCACAAGTGTCATTCCACTCGCGGGTAGATTATTATGCAGACAAGTCTGAGGATTGATTAGATATGAATTATGTAATTCTATACTGAACGGTTCACGAGATCTATTTTTCTGCTTTCCTGTGTATGCGAGATGAGTCGAGTGACCCATCAAACTGTCCGGCTCCTCCCAGCCAATCTGACGGTATGTCTGGTTTTTATGTAAGTTTCTCATATTCTAAGATATGAGACACAGGGGAAGAATGGATTTTGAGGAGTGTTATCTGATTCTGTCACCTATGCTGCATTAGGTTCATTAGGTCAGAATCTCTTTCAATTCCTGAGAAAGCTTGCCTTATTTCTTCCGAGGTGTGAAATGGCATAGGATCTCCCAGACAGCCAGGCACCTAGCTCAGAGATGCCTTGGCCTGCCAGTGACCCACAACCAGCAAACACACACGCTGGCCAAATGTCTCCTCTCAGTGTGGGAGGGGGAGGGAAGAATAAGGGAGAAATAAATACGATTAACAAAATGGAGTCGGCATCTTTCACTGTGTGTTGCGCACGTTTGCAACAACAGGCTTTTAGCAGAGTTTAGGAGCTGCCATGTTTA